ACGTGATGCTCAATGGCCATGTCACGGATAATCTTCGTTCGCCTTTGAGAGGGCCGTTGGCACGTTGCGTTGTGGTTTACAGCTAGGCTGCGATATCTGACCTAAACTCTCAGTCTTCGGTAGTATAGTTGTAAGTATTTCATCCTTCACGCGGGTGACCGGTGTTCGATTCCTCGCTGGGTGATAATTGTTCTTTTTCCCTTAAAAAGATAGTTGCCACGTTGTGTTGTGGGTTATAGCTAGGCTGCCCAAAGACATTAGATTTCAGTCAAGTCCCAATTAGCCTTCCCGCGACGCTTGTCGATGAAAAACTATTGTGCGATGACAGAAACTGTTAACTAAGATGGCTTACAGTCCAGTTTAGTTTGGGTGGACACGGATGCCAAGGTCAGTTAAAAATCGTTCCTTTGGAGAGGGAGAGATGACGGGTGCGGGGTATTTTTCTCTGCTATTCGTGAGTATAGTGTACTTTTTACTGTGGGTTTCATCACTGGTTACGTGATGAAGTTTTTTTTTTTTTTCTATGTCGGGGCAACATTAAACTAATTAGTCCGTGACGACAGCATGCAGCGCTAACTCCTCTTTTCTACACCGACCTACACAGACTGTAGTGACAGTGTTTGTTGTTGTGATAGTAGTGGTGGTAGTGGTTGCAGTAGTACTGGTACTGGATGGGTGATGTGGTAGCTGTTTACTGGCCACATTTACTTCTCAGTACAAGTTAATGCTACCTATTTAAGTATGGGTGGATACGGACGCCAAGCTCAATTTAGTTAAATATTTCGTCACATGGTGCCTTTCCCATCCTTCAGAGAGGATGATATGATTGGGGTGTTTATGCCAGACACAGTTAGCTGAGAGAGCTTAAAATATTATTTTAAAGTTCTCATTTCTTCTTCTTCTCTCCTTCACTTCCTGTTTTACCGCTGTGGGTGTCGAGGGAGACATAAGGATCTGTCTCTAGCTCTTCTGGCCGCCTCGACCATAGGCACATCGTGCTGTTGTAGAGTTTCTCTGATGTTATCCTTCCATATTGTTCTTGGTCTACCTCGTGCTCTACGTCCTTCTTCTCTTTCCATGTATGCTTTGTATGGTGTGGTGTCACAAGGCATTCTCTCTAAGTGGGCAAACCATTTCACTGCTGTTTTTGTGTGTAATTTAGAATTAGTTCTATGTCGACCTTTTCTCTTATGATCTCATTCCTGATCTTATCTCTTATGGTCACTCCTACAGCCCTTCTTAGACATCTCATTTCCATGGTTACTAGTTAGTTAGTTAGTTAGTTAGTTGGGTTATCCTCATTGCACTCCGGACATGTCCATAGGTGCTCAGATCTCCCCTCAGTAAGTCCGATGGCTAAAGTACCAGTTCTATGTTGATTAACAAGTCTTCTGCGTAGCTGGTTTTGTCTCGTTTTTTGCTGTGCCGATCTTAATTCCCAAGTCTGCCATTTCTGGCGAGTGATGGGATTCACTGCCACCAAAGTCCTCTATTCTTCCCATTTCTCTGAGGGCATTGATAATATCAGCATGATCCATAGGCTGACCGTCGGTAGTGATAGCGGATCCAGCCAACATGTCAGCTCTTTAATTTCCATTGACGCCTGCGTGTCCCGGAATCTAAATGACTCCACGAACATTCTGTAATATTCTAGCCATGTCTTCTTTGAACCTGCCTGATCCGGATCATACTCATTGAATCACTGAGTATACACACGCGGGTGCACTTTTGTGTTTCACCAGGCAGTTGGTCAATGCCATCACCTCCATCGTCCATTGCTGAATATGACGTGGCTCTTTGACTGTTCTGCCCGCTGAGCGTGCTGGGATTGTCTTATAACGGATTCTGTAAGATTATTGCATCTGCTTGTCTGAATTTTCCACCGATGAGAGCGTTGGTTCTGCATTAACTTCAACAGGATGTCTCTACATTTCTTTAGTGTGACAATTTCCAAATAAACGCCTGAGGCACAGGTATCCATTCTGCACCAGGTATGATGTCGGTTAGGCTGCATATTTGCCTAATAACATCTTCTGCCCGACCTAGCCACGATTTCCCCCTCTTCAGTCCATGGTTACTAATGTTCTTTTATGGTTTGTTGTGAGTGACCATGTCTGGCACTGGTAGCACAGAGTTGGAATAAATATGCTTTGAATAAGACGTCTCTTTGTGCTGATTGGGATTGTCTTATGCTGTAAGAGGGGGGCTAGCTGTCCCAATACTTGGTTTGCCTTACTGCATCTAATGTTAATTTCTTTATCCAATTTCCCATCTTCGGTAAATTCTCATTTCTTAACTATTTCTATTTTAATAATTTCGCCAGGTGATGATTTTTCAATCCTTCGGAGAGGGAGATATGATTGATGCCAGACATAGTTAGTTGAGAGAGCTTAAAATATTATTTTAAAGTTATCATTTCTTAACTACTTTTACTTTAATAATTTCGCCTGGTGATGATTTTTCAATCCTTCGAAGAGGGAGATATGATGGGGGGGGGGGGGGTATGCCAGACACAGTTAGCTGAGAGAGCTTAAAATATTATTTTAATGTTCTCATTTCTTAACTATTTCTATTTTAATAATTTCGCCAGGTGATGATTTTTCAATATTACGGAGATGGAGGTATGATTGGTGGAAAAGGGGGGGGGGGTGGGGTTATACCAGACACAGTTAGAGCTGAGAGAGCTTAAAATATTTTAAAGTTCTCATTTCTTAACTATTTATATTTTAATAATTTCGTCATGGATGATTTTTCAATCCTTCGGAGAGGGAGATATGACTTGGTCGAGGGGAAAGGAAAAGGGGGGGGGGGGGGGTATGGCAAACACTGTTAGCTAAGAGCTATTTTCTTTCCTCTCCATTTCACCACAGCAACGCGTTTCCGGGTACAGCTAGTATATATATATATATATATATATATATATATATATATATATATATATATATATATATATATATATATATATATATATATAGGGCTGTACCGAATATTCGCTTCGGGGCCGAATAGTGGACCTAATAGCTATTCGGTATTCGGCCGAATAGTGGCGGTCGGGCCGAATACGATTAGTGATTTCTGCATACACTGCGATGGACTGAAATAACTCTCTCATTAATAATGTCACAATTTATAGCCGACTTTTCCTGATTTTCGCCGCGGCACCCCTGGCATACGCACCCAGTTTTAGAACCTCTACTGTAATGCTTTGGAGTCATCAGGCGATTTTACCACGCAACCGGGTCGCAGTTTTTCCCGCTACGACAGATTTAGGCAACGCTACTGTTGTGTTAAAGAAGGCATGAAGAAACTTGAAAGTGTATCAGTGAGAGAGAGAGAGAGAGAGAGAGAGAGAGAGAGAGAGAGAGAGAGTGCATTTTTTCGTTCTTTCAGGGTGTCTTTTCCCAAATCAAATTGAAGATATTGCGAACGAGAATATGGAGGTGCATTTAAATTACATCGAACGAACGCCTGAACGAACGATGATTTAAATGTGAATTTGGCACATGGATCAAATCAGCTGAAAGATGCATTACTAAAAAAAAAAAAAAAATAGGACAGGCAAAAACTGCATTTTATATAAAAAAAAAAAAGAACATCTTATGCAATATATCTTTGTCTTGCTTGCAACATACATCCAGGTTTTAACATATGGCTATGAGTCCTGGACAATCGGTAGCCAGGCCAAACAATTTTTTTAGGCCTCAGAGATGTGGTTTTACAGAACAATGCTTAAAATACATTGGACAGCCTTAAAAAAGCAACCACTAGTTTTTGAAAGAGGCGGGAGCCCGAAGACAACTAATCGCAGACATCAGAAGGAGACAGTCATCGTTTTTCGGCCATCTTATAAGCAGAGTGAAAATAGAACACGTGGTGATCACTGGAAAGATTTGTGAGAGATAGAGAGATAGGAGAGATAGAAAAAGACAACGAGAGAAGATTCTTGACAGTCTTGTTGCATGTCATGGAGGTGTGTCAGCACACGAACTGGTACATGCTGGAGGAGATCGCAGATTGTGGCGAGGCAAAATCGCCAACACCAGTCGGCAAGGCACCTGATGATGATGATGCACTATTCGTATTCGGCCGAATAGTTGGTCCCACTATTCGTATTCGGCCGAATAATGAAAATCACTATTCGGTACAGCCCTAATATATATATATATATATATATATATATATATATATATATATATATATATATATATATATATATATATATATATATATATATATATATATATATATATATATATATATATATATATATATATATATATATATATATAAAACTGTCTATTGTTTTTTTTTTCCTCGGGACACTATATATATTTTTCATTCTGTGTGTAAGCTTTTTTTTTAAACTGATATTAACATTACATTTCTTACACTGTTTCGACTGCTTCTTCTTCTTCTTCTTTTTTTTTTTTTTTTTGTAATGCACTTATTATGGTATCTTGAAAGTTTAGAAAAGTAAAGGACATACACCATTGAAAAGTCGAGCATATGCCAGATCCATATTTATAAATCACTTGTCACCAGGTTGGTGATGTGGTAAATTTCATGGTGGCCGTCTTTACATCCCATTAATTTCCTGGTACCCCGTTTAGGTTCGGTAAACTTTAAAGCCAAGGCCTTCTTATTGAAAAAAAAAAAAAAAAAAAAAGACTATTCTAGTTGTCCTGTTGATTGAATTTGTCATCATATTTACTAGATACATCGACTGTACAGTTTAACGAGTTGCGCACGTGTGTGTCGAAAACTGTTTTAACAAACTACCGAACTTTTTTTTTTTTTCCTCGTTAGATATTTTTTGTCTGATGTGGACACATTTGCCATTTGCGCCTGTTTACAACAGAACTGCGATATGTGTACCTTTTAACCTACACATTCGACTTCTTCAAAGTATTTATTCATTGACCGGATTAGCATTTCTGGATTAAAACTAGACAACCAAATATATCACCCACGGACATCTGGTGTTTCTATTTCTGCTCCGAATGCTTCGGCGCGCTCCCAGTTGGCGGGATCTTGGTGTGGAGGGGGACCTGCCTGAAAGCACTGGCTCCTCTCAGAACTTAGCCTGGACTGGAAGTCCGGCTCCTGAGCGACGAGGAGATAAAAGCAAAGATGCCGGGTAAGTAGTATCCTGATGGTTGGTTTGCCGGTTAATAAGTTGATTGGCTGATTTGATCTTAATGTCCTGGTTGGTTGGCCGGTTGTTAAGTCGATTGGCTGATTTGATCTTTATGTCCTGGTTGGCCAATAGTAAGTTGATTGGCTAATTTGTTCTTTATTTGTTCTCGTTGGTTTGATGGTTTATTAATTGATTGGCTGACTTTTTTTTTTTAATTTAATTTCATTAGGAAAAAAGGGGTGGGGCGGATTCGCACCGATTGTTTGCAAAATTGGCCTTTGCCCACAGGTCGACCCAGATTAAAATGGGCACTGGGCAATGTTCTGGAAGGTAAAGGAGGCCGGTAGCATCATGTGCTCGATTCGCCATTGTAGTAAAGGGTGTTTTACTTTTTCGCAAGCACACAGCCTCAGAGTGTCTTTGTGCACCTAACTGTCGCAGAGTCAAGCTTGCCGATTACCTGCAGGTTTTCCTTCGAAGTCGGAGTGCATCTGCCTCAGAGGCAAAGAATCAACCAGTCTGCATACATATAAGCCAGATATGTAAAACAGATGTGCACACAAGACTGAAGTTCTGGAACAAGAACAAGGTCAAGAAGTGGACGAACACCGAGGACTTTCCACCAGAGTTTACAGTCAGTGAAGGCTAAAAAGAAGAAGATAGACAGGTTGCATTAGAAATATGGCTATACGTTTAATCGCATGACATTATTCATCGTCACCATCATCATCCTCGAGTGTCAGGCCGACTTTCCTGGGCGATTACGCCTCTCCACAACCTTCGATCGCCAGCAGCATTCATCATCGCGTGTGCTATCACCCCTCCACGCTGTGACAATAGGCTGCACACACACACACACACAAAAGGCAAACTTGCTTTGTCCGCCTTTCTTTCCTCTGCTTTCCTATGGCCGTATCATGTTCCAGTTTCATTCTTCTCATCACATAGCCAAGAAATTATGTCTGTCGCCCTTCTAATATTGAGCGGCTGACCGAACGATTGTTAGAACGCCGGGCACTCAAGTGAGGTCCCGGGTTTAAATTCTCATATAGGATAGGGATTTTTTTTTTTTTTCTGTCGGGGGCAAAATAAAATTATCACCTGCACAGTCGTGGCGACAGCACTAGCCATGCAGCCGTAAATCCTCAGACTGAAAGACCAACCTGCCTACACCGCAAAAGTGATATAATAAAGAAAGGCATTAATTGGCAGTGTGGCCTTCTGATATTTTTGATAAGTTTTCAGTTGGTATGGCTAAGAAAATGAGACCATACCAAACTAACAATACAATACGGCGATTCTGACCTAAAATGAACAAATACAGTTTCGAGTTTGATTTTCCACCACTTTTTTTCATCTATCAGGCAGACCAGCGGTTCTCAACCTGTGGGTCGAGATGCCTTTTTTGGGGGAGGGGGGACGAACGATCTTTTCACAAGGGTCGCTTAAGACCACCGGTGAACACATATTGATTGGTGTTATAAAGTAGCAACGAAAATAATTGTATGGTTGGGGGTTGTCACAACACGAGGAACTGTATTAAAGGGTCGCCACAAGATAAGGAACTGTATAAAAGGGTCGCCACAAGATAAGGAACTGTATAAAAGGGTCGCCACAAGATAACGAACTGTATAAAAGGGTCGCCACAAGATAAGGAAATGTATAAAAGGGTCGCCACAAGATAAGGAACTGTTTAAAGGGTCGCCACCAGATGAGGAACTGTATTAAAGGGTCGCCACAAGATAAGGAACTGTATAAAAGTGTCGCCACAGATAAGGAACTGTATTAAAGGGTCGCCACAAGATAAGGAACTGTATAAAAGGGTCGCCACAAGATAAGGAACTGTATTAAAGGGTCGTCACAAGATAAGGAACTGTATTAAAGGGTCGCCACAAGATAAGGAACTGTATTAAAGGGTCGCCACAAGATAAGGAACTGTATAAAAGGGTCGCCACAAAATAAGGAACTGTATAAAAGGGTCGCCACAAAATAAGGAACTGTATTAAAGGGTCGCCACAAGATAAGGAACTGTATTTAAGGGTCACCACAAGATAAGGAACTGTAATAAAGGGTCACCACAAGATAAGGAACTGTAATAAAGGGTCGCCACAAGATAAGGAACTGTATGAAAGTGTCGCCACAAGATAAGGAACTGTATTAAAGGGTCGCCACAAGATAAGGAACCGTATAAAAGGGTCGCCACAAGATAAGGAACTGTATAAAGGGTCGCAACAAGATAAGGAACTGTATAAAGGGTCGCCACAAGATAAGGAACTGTATTAAAGGGTCGCCACAAGATAAGGAACTGTATTAAAGGGTCGCCACAAGATAAGGAACTGTATTAAAGGGTCGCCACAAGATAAGGAACTGTAATAAAGGGTCGCCACAAGATAAGGAATTGTATAAAAGCGCCGCCACAAGATAAGGAACTGTATGAAAGTGTCGCCACAAGATAAGGAACTGTATAAAGGGTCGCCACAAGATAATGAACTGTATTAAAGGGTCGCCACAAAATAAGGAACTATATTAAAGGGTCGCCACAAGATAAGGAACTGTATAAAAGGGTCGGCACAAGATAAGGAACTGTATAAAACGGTCGCCACAAGATAAGGAACTGTATAAAAGTGTCGCCACAAGATAAGGAACTGTATAAAACGGTCGCCACAAGATAAAGAACTGTATTAAAGGGTCGCCACAAGATAAGGAACTGTAAAAAAGGGTCGCCACAAGATAAGGAACTGTATTAAAGGGTCGCCACAAGATAAGGAACTTTATTATAGGGTCGCCACAAGATAAGGAACTGTATTAAAGGGTCGCGACATTAGGACGGTAGAGAACCACTAGTGTAGACTAGATTTACATACGGCGTTGTTTTTTTTTTAAACATGTAACTGCATTTCTTCTAACCATATGTGGGGGTGTGTGTGTGAGAGAGAGAGAGAGGAAGAGAAAGAGAGAGAGAGAGAATTCAAAATCCTACACGCTAATCGCAGTCACACCCTACAGTGTTTGGAGACTTTAGGGAACTTGGTAACCACTAGGGGCCCTAATATAACCTTTTGCTTGAACTGGGTTTCGGGGGATTTGTACCTAGAAGATTATCATCCTAACTGCGACTCTTTGGCTATTCTAGTGTTATTCGCTCAGCAATCAGTCCTCGTATGGTTCAGCTCCACGCACTAATCTGAAAAGAGAACCAAGACGATGCCTCTGCGGCAGTTAAATGTCACACACACACGCGTTTGTATTCGTATGTGTTTGTGTAAATATACATACATACATACACACACACACACACATACATACATACATACATACATACATATATACATACACACATACATACATACATACATACATACATACATACATACATACATACATACATACATACATACATACATACATACATACATACATACATACATACATACATACATACATACATACATACATACACACATACACACACACATACATACATACATACATACATACATACATACATACATACATACATACATACATACATACATACATACATACATACATACATACATACATACATACATAATCCACATACATACGTGTTTATATCTGTGTAACTACACGCACATGAACACATACGTATATGTACATTTTCTTCTGGACGCGTCTGATCGCCATCTCATGTATCCGTCTGTATATCCCCAGATTAAATTAGTCTTTCGTTATTGACATCCAGATTCCCAACTCCACTTGACGCTCATATATTTGATTAAAACTGCCAGAAGCCAAACCGTCTGTCTGTCTGCCTTGGTGGTTATTGATTTGGTGCTTTTTATTTTTATTTTCACTATGCTTTTTTTAGCGATTGTTTATTAGTTTTCCGTAAAGACTGTCGCATCTCTATATTTTGTCTTCCCTGTGTTGGCTCCATGGCCCCACTGTGGGGGGGGGGGGGACAAGAATATACCCACTGCCTAAAAGCATGTCGTAAGAGTCGACTAATTGGGAGCTTCCTTCTAAGTTGGAGTACATCGGCCTGAAAGGCAAGGAACCAACAGTCCGTATGCAAATGTGAAACGGATGTACACGCAACACTCAGGTTCTGGAACAGGACTAGAGTCCAGAAGTGGACGAACAACCAAAACTTTCCGCCGGAGTTTACAGCCGTTGGACGCGAAGAAAAAAAGAAGAAGTATATTCTGTTACGTCATAATTGCTACATCGGGATTATCTGATCAATTTCAGCCCCCGTGTTTGTTTGGGTTTAGACGACGGATCAACATCGTGCACAAGGGGTAACCCATAAGTGCTCCGTTCTATTTCTAACTCAAGCCTGAGTCCCAGGTTCCTCAGCGCAGTGCACGAACTCCGCAGCACCGGCCAGGATTCTGAAATACTTTGGCTAGATTTTTAACTCCACATTTTGGCCGGGCAGCGTTGCTATGCCACTGTTTTCGATTTCCATGTGCCAAGGGAATTTTTACGTGCGCAGCAATACACACGTGCCTCCGATCCTACTACCCAGAGACCAGGGGAAATGACTAAAATTACCACCTTTACTATCTATCTATCTATCTATCTATCTATCTATCTATCTATCTATCTATCTATCTATCTATCTATCTATCTATCTATCTATCTATCTATCTATCTATCTATCTATCTATCTATCTATCTATCTATCTATCTATCTATCTATCTATCTATCTATCTATCTATCTATCTATCTATCTATCTATCTATCTATCTATCTATCTATCTATCTATCTATCTATCTATCTATCTATCTATCTATCTATCTATCTATCTATCTATCTATCTATCTATCTATCTATCCATCTATCTATCTATCTATCTATCTATCTATCATCTATCTATCTATCTATCTATCTATCTATCCATCCATCTATCTATCTATCATCTGTCGGCTCTGTCTGTCGATGCGAACGCTCGCTGTAATGCTATTAAGCTGCGGGCATCGCCTTGCGTTGGTTTCGACAGTATCACGCCGA